TGGTTTGGATGAGTTGTTTCGTGGGAGGAGATGGTCAATGATGAGGAGGTCTTGTTACGGTGGGAAACTGGCCTTGTTTTTACCTAAACTAGAACAGATTTGGTGTGCGGAGATTTCGCTGGAGAGAAGGCAAGGAGGGGAGATTTGGGGTAAAGTTGAGTGGTGTGGTGAGGTTTTGAGTTCTCGGGATTTAAGCTTAAGTAAAGCTCTAGCTGTTATGCTTTGATGCATGAACTCTTCATATTCAATGTGATCATGTTAATTATGATTTCTGGGAATTGTTTCTTAGAAAAACCTCTAGCTGTTATGCTTAGATGCTGAAACTTTCTCCGTCCTATCTACCTAGCATATGCTTGATCTTGTTTTTGTTAACTTTTTTTTTTTTTTTTTTTTTTATAATTTCTTTGTCCAGCATCTCTGAATGGTCTGCTGCCTTTTCAATTAGTCCATAAAAAAATGAATGAAATCTTGATAGAACTTTTTGCAGAATAGTGTTTGTACTCGCCAAAATAAACTTCAAAATTGCTTCTAATTTTCTTTTGGTAAAAAAGTTGATTCTTATAAAACTGCAGTTATGCGTAAACTGTACTCACTAAGACTATCTCTAGAACAAAACATTTTTAAGTCATCTTAGTGGGTTTACTGACGTTCTTTAAGCAGCAACATATTTACAAGTCATTTACATTGGATCGAATATTATCTAAATTAGCATTTCTCAAACATTTGTATTTTTTTATATTGTGTTATGCCCTTACCAAGACTTGTCTGAATCATTCGGATCGCTTTTTTTGGGGACTCAATTCATCAATTGGAAGCTGCAAACACCTTGGCAATTTTGTGGATAATCCGAAGTTGGGTGCCTATGCCTAAATCAAAGAAAAATTGGCCTATGGAAAAAACAATTTCTAAAAAACTGAAGGGTTGTTATGGGTTATTAGGCCCATTTATTCTCTAAGTGCCTTTTCTCTCCAAATAAAATCCTACTTATTAACATAAATATTAAATAGTACAAGATTAAGAGCATGTCCAGCGGCCGTATCAGACAGATCTCTTAATATTAAAGAAAAATAAAAAATGGTGAAAAAGAGGAGAGAAAATGTGATACGTCTCTTTATCACGAGACCGTATCAGAAAATATGAGAAACTTTCCATGAGTTGGCATTATACAGTTGGTTAAGTTTTTCATTCATTTTAATTTTATTTTTTAGAAAAATTATATTAATTTAATATATATATGAGACTTTATTTTAGAGTATCACATGCTCTAAGCGTCAATAAAAGAATAGTAGTACAAGACTTTTTTTTTTTGGCGGCAATAGTAGTACAAGACTACAAGTAGTAGAAAAACCTTTTTCATATAAACCTAGTAACTTCATTAAAAATTAATAAATAAAATACTAGAGCCCACCTAAACAGTTAAACAAACTACTGTATGTTTTTATCATTCTTTTCTCCATCGAAATTAGGGTAAATAACTAGTAGTTAGGAGTCTAAGGAAATTAGGGTTTGAGGTTTTCCTCGGTGATTGTTTGATTAGAACCTAAAACTAAGGTTCCTTTCTCTTTGAGATTGGGCGATTGTTGTTAATCTTGAGATGTCATCCAAAAATAAAGCAGAGGTTGAGCAATCATCGGAATCACCGTTTGTGATTATGTCCCTTCCCGAAGACGTCATGGTTAAGATCATTGCGCGTGTACCAAGATGTGAGTATCTAACACTCTCTTTTGTCTCTAAGCACTTCCGGTCACTTGTTGCTTCGCCTATGCTATACGCGAGTCGATCCTTGTTGGGCCTCGCCGAACAGTGTCTCTATGTTCTCCTAACTAACGACATGACCTGTGATGAACGTTGGTATACTCTCTGCCGGAAACCCTACGGTAATCGCGGCTTGGTCCTTATTCCATCGCTTCCCGCTATGCCTTGCCACGGAAGGTTTGTATCGGTTGGTTCCAAGGTATATGTTTTTAGTGGGAGTTATAACCATCACAAACCACAGGATGTCTTAAGCATCGACTGTAGATCTCACACGGTGCAAACCCTCCCTAGCATGCCTATACACATGACAGATACAGTCGCTGGCTTCATCGATGGAAAAATATATGTAATTGGATATTCCTATATCTACAAGGGGACGGTCATGGTGGTGTTCAATACAGAAACGCTTATGTGGGAGCCCGAGATGACAAAGCAATACATTGACCTAAGTGACACGGAGGAGCCTAGTTATGTGGTGGTGATGGGTAATAAGATTTACACGCCGGATAATGAAGATGACTTGGTTTTCAAGCCAGTAGAGAGTACATGGGAAAGCATAAGATCCGGTATGCTGAATTATGAGAATTGGGAGAATACGTGTGTGGTCGATGACGTATTGTACTGTTACGTTTATCAGAAACACTTACGTATGTATGATCCAAATAAGAGGTGTTGGGGAGTGGTTAATGGTTTGGAAGACTTGTGGGCAAAGACGAAATGGTCAGAGAGGAGGTCAATGACACTGAGTTACGGTGGAAAACTGGCCTTGTTTTTTACTAAACTGGAATCAGGAGAAAAAAGACAGATTTGGTGTGCGGAGATTTCTCTGGAGAGAAGACAAGGAGGGGAGATTTGGGGTAAAGTTGAGTGGTGTGGTGAGGTTCTGAGTTCTGGGGATTTAAGCTTAAGTAAAGCTCTAGCTGTTATGCTTTGATGCATGGTTCATATAACTTATGCTTGGTTCCTTTGTCCCTTTTTTTAAACTAAATTTTATTTGTCCAGCGTCACCCAAATGCATTGGTCGTAGGATGGATCTAGAAAATATATGATATTAAAAAGCCAATATCAATTCTTCTACATAGATGAATTTTCTTTTGATAAACCTAAGTTTTCATTTTTCAGTTTTTCTGATTTCGTTGATGTTAATGGAAACAGTCGAATCTAAGAGAATCCATAACGTTTAGAATGATAAGAAAAAATATCTGAACCTGAATCAAACTGAAAATCTGAGCTTCCAGATAATGCATGTTTAAGGAAGCTGAAGCAAAAGGAGTTGATCATTCTCGATCTATCTTGGGTTTATTGGTTTGGATAGTTAACAAGGAAAGGATTGCTATAGAATTTTACATTTGGTATTGCATATGGTGATATTATTTGCTTATGAAGAACGTTGAAGTGTCTTATACTGTATGCTTTCCAGAATGTGACTAGTTCAACACATTTATCCTCTCCATCACATCAGCATTGGTGTAGTCTACATGATTCTTTGGAAAGATTTGTTGTTTCTTAAAAGTCATATTAGCGCACCATCACGGACAAGTTTAATTTGTTCATTTGAGTTACTCTTGACAACGTTGTGTCATCGTTCCCATTGCTTTTGATAGAATTTTCCAGAGGAAATGTTTTAGTTGGGCAGAGAAAGAGCATCCTTCATATATGGCCAATAACTTAGGTAAAGAACAGACAATATATATAATCTCCTATAAATTTGTGTAACACCACACAACTTTGTCTTTATTTGGTGGCTATTCTGCCAGATGCAAAAAGACCACGGGTATGCGACAGCTTCTGATAGAGGCCAAGCTTTTCTCACTCTCAAATAAATCATGAAGCCAAAGGGGTGAAACTACCTAAGATTTGATGAAAGCGCTTTGTTTGGGCAATGAGAAATGCTCCTCTATTGGCTACTCGAGACACAACTTCCACATTTCAGCACCATGTAGTTTTTCAATTCTTTTTCTAAAAGTAACATCTACAATTCAAAACCGAATAGATGTACAGTAGAAACTCTATAAATTAATAATGTCGGGACTTTGATATTTTATTAATTTATAGAGTTATTAATATATAGATTTTGACTAAAAATTTTCAAAAAAGAAAATTCAATATAAAATCTTTTAAATTTTCCTTCAAATTAAATAAAACTTTCCTTTATGTATATTTTCTTAACTTTTTTTTGATGTTTCTATATTTACTTTATTGTTTACATTTTCTCATACTTGCCATATATTATAAATTTCTTTTTTCTTTTAGTTTCCATATGTTTGTGTGTCAAGATTCATATTTTAGTAGTTAGATATCTTAGTATATATATATATATGATAATTATTAATTTATGATATTATTGGGACCATATTTTACATAGGAGTTTAAAAAAAGTTATTATCTTATTATCTTATCGAATTGTGTCATATTTTACACCGGCCCAACTCGGGACCGGAGAAATTTATTAATTTATCGTGTTTATTAATTTATCGAGTATTAATTTATAGAGTTTCTACTGTATATTAAAAATAATGGAATTGAATTTGATAATACTTTAAAAATAGAAAACTTTAGTTAATATTTTTGATTAAATGTATATTTAAGACATTTAAGTAGTGTAATTCCTGTTTTATTTAGTTCTTATTTCATACAAGTTATCTAGATTTAATGGTCTTCTTTTGACTTTCTAGTTTTTTCTTACTTATTTTAATATTTAAAATTATTTTAGTTGCTAATTTTTTTTTTCAAACATCATCATTATTATTACTTTTTTTGTCAATATTATTTTACTTATTCCTCTTATTATTATTTTAATTATTATTGAAATTTTATTTAACTTATTGTGGAAGTTATTCATAGATATGAAATTTTTTTTTCCATTATTCTCTTATTTCATTCTTTTGATTTTTTAGATTTTTAACTTTCTTTTTTATTTGATTTTATAGTTTTCTATTAATTTTCTAATTACAAAAATTGAAAACAAAAAAAAAGGAAATATCTTTTGAAAACTTAATTTTTTCTTCTTCTATTTATTTAATTTTCTTCATAAAGATCTAATAACTATAAAAAATTGATATCACTATATCATCAATACATATTAATATCTAAAGTAAAAAGAAAAACTTTACATTGAATATCTAATAAATTATAATCATTTTATCGTAATCTTGACGTTGAACGTGTTAATTTATATAGACAGTTCTAGCCATGACGTTGAACGTGTTTTTCTCTTTAGAGTTCGGGTGATTGTTGATCCGGAGATGTCACCCGGGGAATCCTCGGAACCACGGTCTCTGATTATGTCACTTCCCGAAGACGTCATCGTTGACATCATAGCGCGTGTACCAAGATTCGACTATCCAACACTTTCCCTCGTTTCTAAGCATTTCCGGTCACTTGTTGCGTCGTCTGAGCTATACGCGAGACGATCCTTGTTGGAGTGCGCTGAACACTGTCTCTATGTTTTCATCTATTGCCGGTGGTATATTCTCTGCCGCAAACCAGACGGCAATCACCGCTTAGTCCTTATCTCGTCGCTTCCCGCTTTGCATGGCACTGAGAGCTTTGTCGTGGTTGGTTCGAGGATATATGTGATTGGTGGTGGGATTCCATCGAGTGCCTTTAGTATCGACTGTATATCTCACACGGTGCAAAACCTCCCTAGTATGCCTACACGCATGACTCATACAGTCGCTGGCGTCATTGATGGGAAAGTATATGTAACCGGATATGATGTTCATGATCGAGAAAGGTCATGGTGGCGTTTAATACAGAAACACAAATGTGGGAACCAGATATAAAGCCAATAGCAAACAAGGAAACAGGCAACATGTGGACGCACAATTGTGTGGTGATGGCTGATAAGATTTACATGAAAGATCCTTTTAATAGCTTTGTTTACGACCCAAAAAATAGTAAATGGGAAACTGACGATATGCTGAATTCTGTGTGTTGGAAGAATGCGTGTGTGGTCGATGACGTATTGTACTATCACGATTCAGTTGAGAATCGTTTAAGAACGTATGATCCAAAGCAGAGGTGTTGGGGAGTGGTTAATGGTATGGAAGACTTGTTGGGTGAGATGACAAGTTTATTGTGGTCAGAGACTGTGAGTTACGGTGGGAAATTGGCTTTGTTTTTTCCTAGTAAAAATGTGATTTGGACCATTTGGTGTGCGGAGATTTCGCTGGAAAGAAGACGAGGAGGAGAGATTTGGGGTAAAGTTGAGTGGTGTGGTCAGGTTTTGGACCCTGGACGTTTCTACGTAGGAGAATCTCTAGCTGTTATGGTTTGATAGTGGAGAGAATCAAATCATGGATTAATCTTATCAAATGAATGTGATCTCCGAGTGTAACATAGCACTGGATATAAAACCACCAGTGCGCATATCATATATATATTGTTGGTTTATAACTGAGTTTGTTCGATATAGGTAAATGTGTTATGTAAATTCAGTGGACGTGTGTTATAACTGTGACTTGTTGGATAAGTTGGGGATAGGTTTCATTTTCAGTTTCCGGAAGTTACAAACAGTGACCTCTTTTTTTGGAATTGATTGAAAATATTATTCAAAAAAAACAAACAAATTAACAACAAATGCTTCGGATCTTTGATCATCAAATCAAGATAACAGTTTTTTTTTGGTAAACAAATCGAGATATAGTTTTTATATCAGTTAGTAATATGTTGAAGCAAAAGGAGAATAATTTCTGGTTCTTTTGCAGGAATCGTCACATGCAACTGCAAACAAGATGCATGTATCGGGGGAAAAAATCAAGATTTGGCAAAAACATTTTCAGATGAATTAAAATTGCCTTTCATCCATTCTCTTGGTAGTCGTCTCCTAGAGATGTAATGAACACATTTCTTAATTAGTCCAACATTATTAAAGATAGCCCATCAATTTTTTATTTTTTTTAACATGAGCTGTATTATTTAAAATGTTTTGATTGGGGTTTTTTAACTCTTTTTTAATGACACGTAGAAACGGTTTCTGAATGCTCAAAAATGATAATGGTCATTCATATGGAGAGATATTGTGTTTTTAGTGTATTGATTAGTATCGATGATATCAGTATTAATATCATAATCTAATTAGCACATGGTTGTGAACATGATTTAGAGATAAACAACTTCACAACCACTTTAGAGAACTCCGTTTTGCTGTTCTTCAATCTTCATGATCACGTTTCTCCATGATCTTCTCCAAGCTCCCAAACCCGCCTTTTTTTTCTCCTCTTATCACTTATTTAAATGGACTCTAACAACTACACAAATACAAAATATTTTACTTGGATTTTAAGATAAACTTAAAATGGTAGATGATGCTCAACTACTTCAAATGAATGTGGAAGATGTGTCAAGGACGACAAAAAAACTAACAAAATAATATAAACCGTCCAAAGGATTCATGAATTTCAAACCCAACACGAATACTAATTAGTACTATAAACTTATTATCTTGCTCTCTAGCCTGACATTGACATGAAACCATGAAGGATCTTTAATTTTAATAATTTACAACCTTCGTTGGAAACTGGAAAGTGCCATTAATTAATTAATTATATTATATTTCATTAGTAGTTGTAATTCATAAGCTCGCCTGAAACGTGACTAGTAAATGGCGTTGACGAAGATCCACTCGTAATCTAGATCCATGCTTTACGGGGAAAGAAGAAATGTTTTTAAAGCTTAAGAAGCATGTTCAACATGTGGAGCAGGAATAAAAAAAATGAAAGAGTGGGCATCATATTGAATTATATATCTTCCCGATTCTCTATAAATTACCGTAGCAAGTGTTAGCCTTCAAAGGAACTCAAACAAACACAACACAAAGCAAGAAAATCACAAAGATGAAATCAGGTGCAGCATTCACATTCCAAGTGATCATCTCTTACCTACTCCTTGCAATAACAACATCTGTTGCGGGTGAGAACGAAGCAGTTCTTGATTTCTACGGGAAACCAGTAAAGGCCAACGTTCCTTACTACGCCGGCTTCGTGTCAACACCAGCATTCCTTACACGTTACGGATTAGACGAGCCAGGGTCATGCCCCGAAGGCGTGGTATTCTCCTTTGATTCAAACTTAGTACCACCACGTATACCAATTATATTTGTATCATCATCATCATCAGATGTCATACGAGTATCGACAGAAGTTAGCATTAAGTTCGCACTTCCAAGTGAATGTGACGAATCCGGGGTTTGGAGAGTTACTGATTACGCCGAGGACAACGACGAAGTACTCCTGACAGGATCGGAATCAACTGATGATAGTATGTTCACCATTGAAAAGTTTCACAAGTCATACAAATTTGCTTTTAAAAGTGTTGAGATGGGTATGTTTAAGGAAAGCTCTCATGTATGGAGACTGAAACTACGGTGGCTAGGATTGAAGAGGGAACTTGACGTTGACGACAAGGTCATGGAGTTGGATGTCTCTTTCTTCCCAGTTATGAATAAGACATATTCTGCTTTTACTAGCTAGTCTTGTTTTTTTTTTTTTTCTTCATGTAATATTTCATTTCAAGTCGAAGAAGTATACTTGTTGTCTTTATGTTTATTTCAAGCGAGTCTTCCAACTCTTCAAAATTTATAATTAAATGCAAAAATATAAACCGATATTCGCACAGTAGTTTTTGAGAGGAACTGAAAAAACTATTTACACAAGTAATATCCGGATTAATTAATGGGTTATACTTATATGAGTACCCATATTATATGGGCCATATAAATATATCTAAAAAGTAATAATAATTTTTTTTTAAAAGATACTAAATATTATTAATCAAAACCTAAATGAAAGCTTCCAAGTAACAAATTCATAGTAATATTTGTGTTGTAAAACAAAATAAATTACTTGTAATTAATTAGATAAAACATATAATAAAATATTCAAATTATAAAACCACAAAACCAACTAATTTAAAAAAATACTTGAATCGTCTTTGGATGATAATAAGTATATATATGATTGTTTATATTTTAATGATAAATTTATGGATATTTTATACTTTAAAGTGATAAATTATGAATATTTTACATATTTAAAATATTTTTCTTTATTGTAATAAAATTCATGGGTAATCCATAACTTTAATGGGTTTACCCATAAAATCCATAGACTATTAATGTGAGTTAAAAAAAACTCAAACCAAACCCGTTAAAATTGTCACACAGGGTCAACCCATAGATTTGGGGATTTCCTCTCTCTCTCTCGGTGATTGTTTGTTTAAAGCCTAAAAACTAGGGTTTGGTGCTTTTCTCATTGAGATTGGGCGATTGTTGTTAGTCTTGAGATGTCTTCCGAAACTAAAGCAGAGGATGAACAATCGTCAGAATCACCGTTTGAGATTATGTCACTTCCCCAAGACGTCATCGTTGACATCATAGCGCGTGTACCAAGATGTAAGTATCTAACACTCTCCTTTGTCTCTAAGCACTTCAGGTCACTTGTTGCCTCGCCTAAGCTATACGCGAGTCGATCCTTGTTGGGCTTCGCCGAACAGTGTCTCTATGTTCTCTTAACTAACAACATGACCGGTGATCAACGTTGGTATACTCTCTACCGGAAACCCTACGGTGGTTACGGCTTGGTCCTTATCCCGTCGCTTCCCGCTATGCCTTGGTTTGGAAGGTTTGTCACGGTTGGTTCCAGGGTATATGTGTTTAGTGGGAGTTATAACCATCACAAACCACAGGATGCCTTAAGCATCGACTGTAGATCTCACACGGTGCAAACCCTCCCTAGCATGCCTATACACATGACAGATACAGTCGCTGGCGTCATCGATGGAAAAATATATGTAACTGGATGGTCGCATATCAACAAGGGGAAGGTCATGGTTGTTTTCAATACAGAAACGCTAATGTGGGAGCCCGAGATGACAAAGCGAGACATTGAGCTAGGTGACACGAAGCCTAGTGGTGTGGTGGTGATGGGTGATAAGATTTACAGGAAGGATCATGAGAATAACGTTGTTTACAAGCCAGTGGAGAATACATGGGAAAGCTTCAGATACGATATGCTGAATTATGATAAATGGGAGAATAAGTGTGTGGTCGATGACGTATTGTACTATTACGATCATGAGAAACACTTAACAATGCATGATCCAAAGAAGAGGTATTGGAGAGTAGTTAATGGTTTGGAAAAATTATGGGCTTGGACGAAATGGTCAGGGAGGATATCACAGACAGTGAGTTACGGTGGGAAGCTGGCCTTGTTCTTTACTAAACGGGAAACAGGAGAATGTCAGAGACAGATTTGGTGTGCGGAGATTTCGCTGGAGAAAAGACAAGGAGGGGAGATTTGGGGTAAAGTTGAGTGGTGTGGTGAGGTTTTGAGTTCCTGGGATTTAGAGTTAACAAAAGCTCTAGCTGTTATGCTTTGATGCATGAATTATTCACATAGCTTAATGCTTGGTTTCTGTTTCTCTTTTTTTTTAAAAAGTTATATGAATTTTCTTTAGATAAACCTAAGATTTCATTTTGCTGATTAGGTTGATGTTAATGGAAATAGTCGAGTTTGAGAGAATATATGTATAATGTTTAGAATGATTAAAAAAAAGTTTTTGAACCCGAATCAAAGTGAAAATCTGAGCTTCCAGATAATGCATGTTTTGAAGCAAAAGGTGTTGATTATTCTCGATATATCTTGGGTTAACAGGTTAAGGAATCCTATCGAATTTTACATTTGATGTGATTGAGTGGATAAATGTGTTCAACTAGTCACATTCTGGAAAGCATATAAGACACTTCAACATTGGTGCAGTCTACATCATTCTTTGGAAAGATTTTTGTTTCTTAAAAGTCATATTAACGCAACATCATTGACACGTTTAATTTGTCCATTTTAGTTATTCTGGTTGTGTCGTCGTTCCCATTGCTTTTGATAGAATTTTCCAGAGGAAATGTTTTAGTTGGGCAGAGATAAAGCATCCTTCATATATGGCCAATAACTTAGGTAAAGAACAGACAATATATATAATCTCCTATAAATTTGTGTAATACCACACAAGTTGATCTTTATTTGGTGGCTATTGTGCCAGATGCAAAAAGGCCACTGGTATGCGACAGCTTCTGATAACACTACATAGAGGCCAAGCTTTTCTCACTCTCAAATAAATCATGAAGCCAAAGGGGGTGAGACTACATGCTATTGCTACCTTCAAAGCGCTTTGGGCAATGATAAATGCTTCTCTATTAGCTGCTCGAGACACAACTTCCACATTCCAGCACCATGTAGTTTTCGATTCTTTTTCTAAACGTAATTAACATCTACAATTATAAAATCGAATAGAGGTATATTAAAAAATAATTGAGTTGAATTTGAAAATACTTTGGAAAAAAAGTTTAGTTCAAAAAATAATGTTTTTAGATGAAAATGTATATTTAAAGATAGTTAAGTAGTGTATTTAACTGTTTGGTTAGTTCTTATTTCATACAAGTTATCTAGATTTTACAGTTTTCTTATGATTATCTAGTTTTCATTTTTTCTTGCTTTACTTATTTTAATATTTTTAAATTATTCTACTTTTATTAAAATATCATCATCATTATTATTGTTATTATTATTTTTCCCTTTTATTTATTTTTCAATATTCTCTTACTTAAATCCTTCATATTATTTAACTTATACCTCTTATTGTTATATCAATTATTTTGAAATTTTATTTAACATATTTTGGAAGTTATTTATTGATATGAAATTTATATTTTTTCATTTTTCATTTATTTCATACTTTTTTATTTTGTAGATTTATAATTTGACTGTTTTCAATTGATTTTTTGAAAGAACAAAAAAAATATCAAAACTGAAAAAAAAAAAGGAAATGTTTTTTGAAAACTTAATTTTCTTTCTTCTATTTATCAAATTTTCTTCATTAAGATCTAAGAACTATAAAAAAATGATATCACTATATTAATATGAGATCTAAAGTAAACAAACTTTACATTGTAAATCTAATAAGTTATAACATATTTTATATCCTAATCTTGACGTTGAACGTGTTTATATATACAGCCCAAGTCATGACTAGTTATATGATATTTGTAGAGGTCTCTTAATAAACGTAATAAACCAGTGTTTTTCTCTTTGAGTTGGGGTGATTGTTGATCCGGAGATGTCACCCGGGGAATCTTCGGAACCACTGTCTCTTCCCGAAGACGTCATCGTGGACATCATAGCACGTGTACCAAGATTCGACTATCCAACACTCTCCCTCGTTTCTAAGCACTTCCGGTCACTTGTTACGTCGCCTAAGCTATACGCGAGTCGATCCTTGTTGGGCTTCACCGAACACTGTCTCTATGTTGTACTCTATAATCACTTTGATAATTCGAATTCCCGGTGGTATATTCTCTGCCGCAAACCAGACGGCAACCTTCGCTTAGTCCTTATCTCGTCGCTTCCCCCTTTGCATGGCAATGGGAGCTTTGTCGCGGTGGGTTCAATGATATATGTGTTTGACAATACGACATCAAGTGCCTCAAGTATCGATTGTAAATCTCACACGGTGCAAAAGCTCCATAATATGCCTATACACATGGTTCATACAGTCGCTGGCCTCATTGATGGGAAAATATACGTAAGTGGATATTGTAATCGTGCTTCGAAAAATGTCATGGTGGTGTTCAATACAGAAACAAAAATGTGGGAGCCAGAGATAAAGCCAATTGCAAACAAGGAGACATGCAAAAGGTGGACGCGTAATTGTGTGGTGATGGCTGGTAAGATTTACACGAAAGATCCTTTTAATAGCTTTA